CATTTCACACTTAAAAAATAATTAGCCCTAGTCAGCAGCCCATGCAGACCTTTTTATTTCCGGCAACATAGTCGAGATGGTGCGAACAAAATCGTTTAAAATACCGCCGGGACTAAACGAGAGCGAACGCAAGAGGGTGAGTGGTTTTTACCAAAAGAATTGAAAGACTAATATATAGACCGTATATATGGTTGTTTTGAAAATAAAGCTAAAACAAATAGTCATTTGAATAGATTTCTTAGTCTCTCACATGTCGGCCAGCGCGTTCTTCGTTTGACTACCGTTTCCATGGTTACATTTCCGACATCACGTTCGCCCTTTTCACTAGCTTGCTATAGCTCTACTGACGGAAATTGCGGTCATTTCATATGATGAACTTACAACATAGTAAGGTGAAGTGCGGTTAATTTGATACATACTGTGGTTTGTATACGTGATCTGCCTGGCTGACGTCATCTTATAACAATTAGTATACCTGCTTATCTGTTTAAACTCTGAAGATGACAAAAATTTCATTGACGCACTCTGTTATTGCGCTCGCGGGGCCGATCTTTCGCTCTATTTTTCTACAGGGCTCCTGTTATCCACGGTTCGCCAAGACGAAGCTGAACCTGAAATGTCAGTCATCAAACCCCCCCCCCCCTCAGCCTCATCCCCGCGCGAGCCGAGGGACGCGTGAAGTCTGGGCGCTATAATTTCGTCCAGTAACGTCACTTACTGTTCCTAGTATGTAAAGTAATTTTTGATTTCAGTTTGTACAGGATAGATGCAGGTTTCGTATTGGTCAAAAAGACATAAAGCTAAGGCTGTCAGATTGTATACGTTCTTGTGGGTGCTGTCAGCACGGGTGACTGACATTTCACGCTAGACAAAGCGAGAGAGGGTAACAAAGAGTGGGAAGGGTTCGGGGATGGTTTGTCCTCTCGTTTCACGCACGAACTTGAAATACGAAATGATTTTGTTGATGGTCAAATCGATAATAGTGATAAAGTATAGCCTCTTCTAAAAATCATACCCAATTCAAGACTAGAGTGCAAAAATCATACCCTATTTTCGACCAAAAAGGCCTAAATCGATGCCCTATTTGTAAGCAAAACGGCTGAAAAACCGTACACCTTGAAGGCGCATATATACATACCTATATAGCCCATGTGAGCGAATACCCCCACCCCCCTCCCCCAATCTCCGGTAGTTAACTCTCGCAATTAGTTTGCTGTACACGTTTTGGTGTTTTTCATCCAAGGAATTCTAATAACTAAACAAAAGAAATAAAATGTAAAGATTCAAATAGCAAATTTACACACGAATTTAGTCTGATCGATTGGGGACCAGCTCAAGTACAAACGTTGGCTGATTTCGTGTAGTGTGAAAACTTGGATTTCAAAGGAGCTACGTCACGGTTTGCGCATATCATGAAAAGTCTAGCCTCAATTTTTCAAATTCTTCGTTTGTAATCCGTGTCAATCTTCTCCATCCTTAGCCATCCTTGTTCCTTTATGGTTTATCATTATCTCTTTGGTGTTTTTCTATCTTATTAAACTGTTATTTTCAGGTTTCCTACCATTTAAAGGTAACTTTGTATGTGGCCAAAATAACTCAAAATGCCGTGACTGAGCACCATTAAGAATATATCGAGCTAACAAAGCTAACCGAGTGGGCTAACCGGAGCGCTAGTTAGGCTAACAAGAGTGAACAGTAGGTTAATATCCTGGTTAAAAGTAAACTAACCGGGGTGCTATAAATAGTTAAACATACTCTTTCCCTGTGCATTCGGAGGTCGGAGCCATTCCTGTAATTAATCGCTAATGAAGGGTATCTGGGGCAAAATTTAAAATTCGATTTACAAAGTTAAAACTACTATTTTTTCTTCTTTCAGATGAAACTTTTTCCCTCTCTTATGTAGAGAAACTGTTCAAATTGTACAATGGAGTGGAGGCATTTGTAATGTTCATTGGATATCCTCGTAGTAGTCACAGCTTAGTGGGCGCCATATTGGATGCACATCCAGAAATTATCATTCCACACGAGTACGATGTTATAGAAAATTGGGGAAAATATAATCGTTCATCGACAGTTATGAAGAGAAACATGCCAAAATATCAGTAACTTTTTGACCTCCATCAGCTCTCCACAGAACAAGCAAAGTTTGGAGATCGTTCTGGCGACCCCGAATGGGACATTAAATACAACTACAACGTCGGGCCTATGGCAAGGAGGATATCAAACGAGAATAAAGGTACGTTAAAGACATCGCTCAGTAAAATCTTCGTTCCTTCTCTCTGCCTCTCTTTCTTCCTCCATCCCTCCCTTTCTCTCATCCTTCCATCCCTCCTTCCTCTTTTCCTTTGAACTTTTTTTTCCTTGCTTGCTTGTTTCCTTACTCTTTCCCCTTCTTATTTCTCTCTTCCTTCCTTCCTCTCTTCTTTTCTCCATCCCTCCCTCCCTTCCTTCCTTTCTTCTTTCCGTCCTTTCTGCCTCCCATCCTTCATTTGTTTGTCCC